GAGGGGGGCCGAAGCCCCCCGCGAAGGGACACACAAGCCCCCCCCCCGCGTGTGTGTGTGTGTGTGTGTGTGTGCTTTTAGCTCGTGGTCAAACGGGACAGTGGTCAATTGCAACGTGGCCAATAGGGACCGTGGTCAATTGCAACGTGGTCAATCGGGACCGTGGTCAATATCAACGTGGTTATACACAACGTGATCGATATTAACGTGGTCAATCGGGACTGTGGTCAATATTAACGTGGCCAAACGGGTGCCACTCGCAATAACCTACTTTGATGACATTACATTTTTTATTCCTCCCTCGAATCTTTAATTCTAAAAATTTACTTTAACTCCTTCTTAAAAGGACCTACTTTAATGCCAAATTGGCAAAAGTAGAAATTCCCGACTATCAGTTTTAAAGTAGGAGTACATTTTGTACTTACAGTTCGACATCAAAGTTCATCATCGTTGGAGGTGTCACAAGTATATACAGATATAATTTTGCCAAAGAGAAGGAAACAATTAAAACGTTTGCAGAAAGCATTAATCAGTCTTTCAATATCATGGAATTATTTTGCGGCAACAAGCGACGATGTAATTCAAAAATTAAATAAAGTGAATAGGAGATGGTGGGTTAGACCAGTCGATAGACGTAAATTTCGATAGAAGTAAATGCGGCCACTGTGACAATTTTTTGAATTATCTTGTCAATGAAGACCATGAATTATTTTATGAAGACTATAGAATGTCAGTGGATCAGTACAATCACCTCCTTACTCTGCTACAGCCACACTTGCAAAAAATTTCTCACAGGGCCCCACATTCATCGGGTTTGCGATTAAGTTTGACATTATTGTAAGTAATATAATTTTAATGTATTGAAATAAAATTGATTAAAGATTGACTAAATATAGAATTCTCATGCGATAGGTTTCTTGCTCATGGAGATAGCATAAATACAACAGCAAGAGGGTTTAGAATTGGAAAATCTACAGCATATAAAATAATTTATGAAACTTGCAATATCATCTGGAATGTACTTCAACCAATTTATCTTCCCAATCCAACAAAAGAATCATGGAGTCTCATTGCTGAAGATTTTTATAAGATGTGGAATTTTCCAAACTGCATCGGAACAGTAGACGGAAAACATATCCAGATACAATGCCCTCCTAAAACAGGAAGTCTATACTACAATTATAAACAATTTTTTAGTATAATACTGATGGCTTCTGCTGATGCTGAGTATAAATTTACTTGGGTTGATATAGGAGATTGTGGTAAGTTTGTTATATAGAAAGAAAATTAATCTTATATTCGTTTGTTGTTATGCTTGTTACAGGTTCCATGAGTGATGGAGGCGTATGGGCTGAATCTTCATTTGGTTCTGCTCTAGAGGAGGGTTCTGTTGATCTGCCACTGCCACGTTTGCTCCCTAATTCGGATATAATGTTTCCACATTTTTTCGTGGGGGATAAAGCTTTCCCACTGAAAACCTATATGATGCGACCATATCCAAAAAAAGACTTATGTGATAGTAAGCGTATTTTCAATTATAGGCTCTCTAGAGCACGTAGAGTAATTGAAAATTCTTTTGGTATACTTGTTAGTAAGTGGAGAGTGTTGCGACGTTCTTTATGCTGTTCTCCTGCCAATGCTGAAATAATAGTAAAGGCTTTAATATGTCTCCATAATTTCCTTCTTATTAAGGAAGGAGGTATTGGTGGACGTTATTGTCCTCATGGTTCGATAGATGGTGAAATAAATGATATTTTCCAACCTGGTGCCTGGAGGAAAGAGAATACTTTACATAACATACAAGAGTTACATAGAATTGGTTCGAACAATGCTGGCAGAACAGTCATTAATTTGAGAAACATACTTTGTAATTATGTTAATAGTGACGAGGGCCAAGTTGAGTGGCAAAGGGACCGTGCTTTCCACAATATAAATGTTAATCTAAATTGAATTCTAATTGTTCATTAATAATAAATAAGTTTTGTGATATTATGTAGGAACCTATCTTATACATTAAAAACGTATGAATAAAATATTAGAATTTATTGTGCAGTAGTTTTATTATTAGCAAATAATAAAAACAAATATAATTACATGTTATTTATTTAAAAAATTTAATCATTGATAACATCCATCATTTTCCATGACTAGACTTACTGTCTGTAACATCTTTACAGGAAGTATGCAACACTATATTTAAACAAAACATACAATACTGAACACAAAAGGATTTTCTTATGCATTTTAAAGAAATAATTAAAGTAATAATTACATTTTCCGAATAATTGTATAAAAAAATTGCATAAAAAATTAAACAATCATAAATATATATAATGTCCTTTGTCATAGATAATAAAATAATATCAATTCCTACCAAACTACTTGTGAAAAACAAATATCAATTGTATCCTATGTATCTTATAATACACATAAAAAAGGACACCGTAGCACACAAATATAAAAAATAAAAAAGATTATATCGCTAAATTGCCAAAAATTATATTGCACATATTTTGGCTAAAATAAAAGATCATTGAGCATCTTGAAGTGAAAACTCCAACTGAGTTATACAGGGTGCTACGCAACATATTGAAGACCGGTCATGGGAAGGTAGAGGGGACTAAGACAAACAGAAAAGTCCTGTACTATTTTGCGCTTGGACGAATAGTTATCGAGATACTGAATTTTAAAAATCGACGTATTAGCCCAACCTACTGGCGAATGTAAGCGCGCGGTGAGATGCGTCCGCTTAGCGGCCCCGCTCGAGGCGATGTGTAGCGAGGAGTAGGATGGCGATGCGCGGCGAGGAGTAGGGAGGCGAGGCGCACTGCTGCCCGTCCGCCGCTTACGCGACCACTCGCACGTCTTCCCGCGCTGCGTCAAAGTTCGCAGCGATGGTCGCTACTCACCGCGCGCTTGCATTTGCCAGTGGGTTGGACTAATACGGCGATTTTTAAAATTCAGT